AGTATTAACCACCGCAGTCGGAAGAACCACAAGTGGAGGTTCCAAAGATCGGGGCGAGGGTGCCAGATGGTGCCCTGTCCCTGAGAGAGTAGGTCCTCTCTCAAAGGGATCTGCCAGGAGAGGGCCGTCGCAAAGAGGGAGAGTTCTGACATCCAGGTCTGGTTGGGCCAGAGGGGCGCAACTAGCAGGACCTGCTCCTCGTCCTCCCTGACCTTGCACAGTAACTGCGCGAGCAGGTTCATTGGGGGAAACACTTATTTGCACATGCCCCGAGGCCATCTGTGGGCCAGTGCATCCGTGCCAAGAGAGAGACCCCGGTCAAAGAAAAACACAACTGGCAATGAGCGTTCTCGGGGGAAGCAAACAGATCGATCTGGGTTTCCCCGAATCGCGCCCATATCAGCTGAACAGACTCAGGGTGGAGTCTCCATTCTCCGGGGCGTAAAGGCTGCCGTGAGAGCAGGTTGGCTGCACGGTTGAACTCACCTGGAATGTGAATGGCGCGCAGCAATTTCAGCCGCGTATGACTCCAGAGGAGCAGACGACGGGCGAGCTGAGACATGCGGCGAGAGCGAATACCCCCCATGTGGTCGATATATGCCACCGCCGCCATGCTGTCCATCCTGACCAACACGTGCTGCTGCTCCAGCAACCGGAAAAAAAATGACTGATATGCCAATGCAACTAGGTTCCTTTCCACAGGCCCGCAGCTGCATGCCTGCAACACACAGCCCTCCAGCCTGTGCTGGAAGCATCTGTTGAAACAACAACATGACTGGACGCCTGTCCTAGAGGCACTCCGGCCTTTAGGATTGAGGGGTTGTTCCAAGGGCTGAGGGCGCAGCAACACAGGACAGTAACAGTGACGGGCAGTGTGTGCCCGCATGTCATGCACATCTGGGGACTCGATTGTAAAGCCAGTGCTGAAGTGGTTTCATATGGAGTAATCTGAGTGGCGTGACAGCGGCTGCTGATACCATATGCCCCAGGAGCCTCTGAAATAATTTCAGTGGGACCACTATTTTGCTGTCGAACTCTCTCAGACAGTTCAGCATTAGCCGAGCGTGCTCTCCGGAGAGGTGCGCTGTCTGGGTGACCGAGTCCAGCTCCAGCCCGAGAAAAGAGATCCTCTGCACGGGGGCGAGTTTACTCTTTTCTCGGTTGACCTGAAGCCCCAACAGGTGAAGGTGCCGGAGCACCTTGTCTCTGTGCATAATCAATTGCTCCCAAAAGTGGGCTAAAATCAGCCAGTTGTCACTGAAGACCCGTGGAGACAGAGAGAGCCCGAAGGGGGGGACTTTGTATTGCCAAGCTCAACCTTCAAACGCAAAACGCAAAAACCTACGGTGGTGTGGAAGAATGGAGACATGGAAGTACCGTCCTTCAGGTCTATTACTGCAAACCAATCCCGAGGACGAGCGCACCGGAGAATGCGTTTCTGCGTGAGCATTCTAAATGGAAGCTTGTGCAGACAGCGGTTCAAAACATGCAGATCTAGGATTGGCTGTAACCCACCGCTCTTTTTGGGCACAATGAAGTACGGGTTTTAAAACCCGCTTTCCATCTCGGCTGGAGGGACCGGCTCAATTGCAGGAGGACTTCGCCAGGAGGACAGCAATCTCCTCTCGCAAGACAGGGGCGGACAGGGGGCTGACCATAGTGAAATACACACCCATGAACTTGGGGGACCGTTTCGCGAACTGAATCGCATAGCCAAGTCTGATTGTGCGTTTAAGCCATCGCAAAGGGCTGGTCTGCGCTAACCAGGCAGGCAGAGCTCTCGCTATTGGACTCATCGCTACAATCACTGATGTACCAGCAGTGGGCCAGCGTGGAGTTGGTGTGCTGATCCGGGATGCGTGCGGGTCCTGCTAAAGAGCTAGAGGCAAGATTCACTCTCACCTCGCACCACACTCCAGAGGGGGGGCTTGAGGAGTGGGAGAAAGGAGACCGTCCTCCCAGTACCTGTGAGCCACTGGCGGAATGCATGGAACCTGCGAGCTGGAAGGCAAAGCGTCCCAGTCTGGCAGAATTCGGGCTGTCACATCTGGGGAAGTGGAAAAAGTGCTCTCTCTAAGGAGAGCAAGCGCTTCTCTCACTCGAAGCTTGGATAGAGCGCGTAGAGGAGCAAGAGGTCCTCCCAGAGATTTACTCCCACTGTAGCCCTCAGATCTGGCAGAGCGCCCAACTGCTGAAAGGGAGACATCTGGGGTGGGTGGCTCTTTTGCAAGAGCGATCCGCAATCTTAACTGCGCAACAGACATGTCGTCGAAGTGAAGGAATGTACTGCCCGTGAGCACCGCATTAACAAGCTGGACCCCCAGACATGCAACGCAGTGCTCGTGCCCATCATCCGGGGACAGGAAACCACTGCATCCAGAAACCCACGGTCAAAGCAACATTCTGAAAAGGATGCGCTGCACGACTGTGTTGCTCTTTTAGGTGAAAGTGCAATATACAAACCGCTCTGGAGGACCGGACCCAAAGAACGCCAGGCAAGGGAGAAAACCCAGCTTGAAAGCGCGTTTGCCGACGCGTGTATCACAATCTGGACCGGGAGACTGATCTCGTGTGCTCGGAATCGCTGATGATCAGCAGGAGGAACCCTTATCGACGAGGCTGTGATGTCTCTGAAGAAAAAAGGATGCATCTCCTTGCTTTTCCTGTGCTTTTATTGCCTAACTGATTGCAACAAGCATCAGGTGTGCAAGCTGATGCTGCCAATTCATTGGGCCGTTTACATACTCTTTTAGAAGATTGGCTTTCTCAACGAAATTCCCATTAAATCCACTATCCCATTGAAGTTCCCCATCCGAAGGGGAACTTACATTTCCCTGACTCCAGCATATATACACAACTGATATTAACAGGTGGAGTATTGGTGTAACGTCATTTATCAGTGGGCCCACACGGAATCTGCGCATATTTTTGGCTGATTTCTGCAGATTTTTACCCCATCATTGATTCTGTTTGTTTGCTTGAGTAAATGTGTGTATATCTATTTTTATTCAATTTTTAATTATTTAAAGTAATATTATTGACTAATATGAAAATGTTGATCTGATTTATGTACAAGGCTGTTTGTACAGTAATAGTTTCAGTCTTTTAGTAGATATGTTAAAGTATATGAGAGACTTGCTTTGTTTACCAAATCTAATCTAAGTGGATTTGCATTTTAAACATTAAATAAAAGTTAGAAAGATATTATATTTAATTTTACATATTAAGTTTTAGTTATGATCCTCCCAAAATAATTCCGCAGAAATCCGCAGATTTTTAAAAACGACTTAGTCATTCTGCATACCTTTGGCTCTTGTACACCAAACATACTTTCTCTTTCTGCAACCCTTCTCTGTATACCAGAACTGAACAGTTAAGTGTATCTTTAATGTATTTCACAACTTCTATAAGCATCCAGCTCCTTGTGACATGCCTAGACTTCTTTTTAGACAGCAGTCTGGAGCAAAGGCTGTTGTTTCCCTCTTGTCAGAAGTTCCTTCTTAGAAGTGTGCAACTTCTTAGAAAGAAGAAGTACACTTGGTCAATACATGGTACCATACAAAAAATAAGATTAATTAATCTGTTGTTGCTCTAAACATTTTTCTAATAAAAAATAAAGACACAAAAGTAATAAAAATAAATTCCCTTTTCCCTACAGCAGACACTGGACAGGGATTTAATATTATTATTATTATTTGTAGTTTACTGTTTTCAACTGAGTAGAAATTATTTTTGTTGCTTGTCATAAATTACAGTATGGGGAGGAAAAAACAGGGTGAATCTTTCTACATTTTTGATTTTGTTGAGTGTTTGTGCATAGACTATTATTTCTATACTTCAAATCAAATCAATTTTATTGTCACATCAACAGCAGCTCGTGTGCTATGATGAGTGAAAAGCTTAGGTGCTGGCTCCAGACAGTACAAAATACAGATGCAAATACAACGACAGTGCAAATAAAATGACAGTGCAAAATACAGACAGTGCAAAATACAGACTGTGCAAATACAACGACAATATAAAATTGACAGCGATATGTACAATGAATAGGTGTCACATAGTTGTAGGCAGTATTGTTTCAAGTATGGATTTTGCTGAATGCTGGTGATACAAATTTATTTTAGTTTTTTTCTGTATGAAAGGATACTGACTGATAGCCTCTTCCAGACTTCTATATAGATTTAATCATTTACTTAAATATATTTTAGACTCAGTTGTTTTAAAAAATATGCCCAAAAAAAATTCAAAACAAAATGATAAAACATTTCTAAATTCTTCTCCTCCAAGATTGTCAAGCTTAATATTTGAAGGAGTAATAGCAGTTAATATCTTAGATGTCTCTGCTATTCAAGTCTGTCCACATTTTGTCATGCTTTTTAACATTCTAAACAAGTAGAAAATGTTCAGTGATTATTGAATGTTAGTAATATTACAATATATTCTTCTCATCATTGGTTATTTTATGACTTGGACTTAGAAATAGAGGTATTTTTGAAATAGAAATGTAGCTACCACTGGTAAATAGTTATCAATAACTTAAATAATATTTTACTTTAAATATCTTTAATATAACATTTTATGGTAAATTTGTGCTTAGTAATGGCGAAATTACAGTATATTTTCAAAAAGTGTGGGCTCAAATACATTAGCCTATATTTCGCACCCGTTTTTAATTGGACCAGCAGCCTCCTGATCGAATTAACTTTTCTGCAATGACCTCAAAAACGTACATCAATAGGCTTTTATTATTATTATATTATTATTGCTGTTGATGTTGTTGTTGTTGTTGTTGTTGTTATTGTTGTTGTTACTAAATATTGCAATATATGCCTCTTGATTATAAAATGATTTGGTTATGTTAATAAACGTTTATCTTGATCAACAAGGATACAGTTTTAACTACATTTTTTAATAATATATTCTACCCCATACTGTACCTCAGCCTAGTTCCTGTTTTATCGTAAATAGAGAAAGTGAAACCTCACACGTTTTTCTTTATAAACCGGACATCTGGGTGGTTCTTTTTACCACTGTGTTCAGAAGGAGTTTCTTTAGGCTTTGTCCATCGGTTTTGTCTGCTCACTTGAAGCTGCACAAAAAATAACTGGAAGAATGGCTTTTTACCAGCAACCGCCTTACTATAACCCGGTAAGTTCCCAATAGTTGTTTGTGTTCTGAAAAAAATCTGAATTTGCATTTGTGTCTTCTTAATACTTCCTATTTGCTGTGTTTTGGACTGTTTTAAGTGTACCTTTCTTTTACTCGCAATATTTTGCCTGCTTATAAAAATGCTGCAAATTCCATAATAAAGGGGGCATAGAGCAACTTTCTTTTTACGTTATTTTTTTTTTTTTAGGTTAAATTTCATTATGTAAAAGAAGATGCTTTGTGCAACTTGTCACTTTTATAAAAAAAAAAGTTTTATTTCTGATTATATCCTTTTATTTAGTTTGCCTTAAAGCAAAAAACACATATTATACTTTAATAAATATTATATTATCATGTTGCACAGTTGCGGGGCATATTATCACAGTGATTGTGTACGCTTTTACAAAAGAATTCATTAAGAAAACATACACCACAATTAGGCCAACAGACTACAGTGTGGTTAGATGTGAGAATGGAGCACATTTAAGTAAAAATGACAATCATTGATATTCAAATGATGATATTCACAGGAGTTTACATGAATTCTGATTTATAATATAATATTAAAAGGCCAACCTGAACAGGTACGTTTTTAGGAGGGATTTATAATTGAATAGCAATTCTAATCTCAAGGGGCAAAGTGTTGCACTGTCCCCTCTACATTTCAGTCTCAACTGAGGATCCGGGATTCAAACTCAGGAGCCAAGAGCACTTCTGCACCATAGTCAGTGCTCTAACCACTCTGCTATTGCACTGACAAAAAGTTGTAATTTTGAGATGCCACGTAAAGTGCATTGCAGTAGTCTAACTGTGAAGTAATAAAAGTTTGGACAGCCAGAATAAGGTGTTTGAAATGAACACAAAACACCTGCTGAAGGAAAGGAGTGTAATTTGAAACTTTCACATGCCCTAATTTCATTTTCATTTTCTTGCTTACCAAGTAATTCTATCCATTTATTGGCCAAAATGCAGACTAAAACAATATTCATAGCTGAAAATTGGACATAGGTTTGTGGTTAGAAAAGTAGTAATCATTTTCTATCGGATTACCAGTATGCCTACTTATGTTTTGTATTAATATTTACATCTAAACAGAGAATTCCATTCAGCGGCCCAATCCAGGGCGGCCTGCAGGATGGGAAAAGCATTATCATAAGTGGACGGGTTTTACCAGGTGCTAACAGGTGAGGAGTATTATAAAATGCTTTCAAAAACAAAAGTTTTTAGGTGGATATATATATATATATATATATGATCTGGAAGGCCGGTGTCCTGCATATTTTAGTTCCAACCCCAAATAAACACACCTGTACCAGCCAATCAAGCTCTTTCTTGGTATACAAAAACTTCCAGGCAGTGTGTTGAAGGAGGTCGGAGCTAAACTATGCAGGACACTGGCCCTCCAGAACCGAGTTTGGGCACCCCTGACATATACATAGTAAATGTATGTACACACAATATTTGATGCGTTTAATCACAATTTATTTTGCCCATAATACTCTGTGTGTGTGTGTGTGTGTGTGTGTGTGTTTTGCTTTAACATTTGAAGTGTATTTAATGTCATTTATTGATTATTGCAATATTTTAGAACTATCGACCTATTGAGAAACTTGTTTTGTCACATTTCCTTATTACACTTTCACGTCCTCAGTTTGACTCAAAGCCTTTGATTGTTCTTTGTCCTGCAGGTTTCATGTGAACCTTCAGTGTGGTTCTCATTCAGAGGCTAACGTTGCTCTTCATTTTAACCCACGCTATGAGGACACTGACTATGTAGTAAACAACTCATATCTGAACAGGACCTGGGGCTCAGAGGAGCGCAAGTATGAATCTCCCTTTGCTCAAGGTCAAACATTCACCCTGCAGATCCTTGTCGCTCAGGACAGATACAAGGTACAAGTACATTCACTCCGTTTCTGAAGTGTTTTTAAACAGCATTAGCCCCATTGAGTTATAAATGGTTTAATATCTCAGGAGTTTGACCTCTTCTTACTTTTCTGGATCTGTCTAGATATCTACAAATGGCAGACATTTTATGGACTACAAACATCGTATACCATTCACTCAGGTCGACACAGTCGCAGTGGAGGGAATGGTGGAAGTGAACTCTGTTGCCTTCCAGAATCCTGCGGTAAGGGAAAAAAATGCACATGTGGTCATTACAAATCTTTTCTCACAAATGACTTCCTTTTTCTGAGCCATTTTGGCAATCATTTGCTAGTATGTTTTGAAATGATGTGTGAAATCAAAGGGCAACTCTGAGAGTAATTCATCACATGAATCACTATATTTATAAACCAGGCTACAAGGATCATGACGATATAAACTGAGATTAGATGTAGCTTTAAATGCCTTAGAGAATACAAAAACTTGTTTAAAGTTTAGATTTTTAAATAAATCTGTCTTAAAGGTCTCATGAAATTAAAATAAAATTTTTTAGATGTTAGTATCGGTATTGTCAGTTTTCAAGATGTCTTAAGTGACACAATTTGCATTTAGAAAGTAAAAAACTGATATAAACATGTAAAGCTTGTAGTTTGTCACTTCCTCCTAAATGGATCAACGGTTTCATTTATGTCAACCCAAACAACAGTTTCTCTTTAAAACATGCATCACCACCCTCAAGATGTAAGATTTGGGCTGTTTCTGAATTCCAAGAACACAGAAGTCGAACTTGCGTTCTCATGGAGAGGAGTCTTGCAAGTTTACCATGAAAGAACGAACTCTGTAAACCCCGAGAACAGAGAATGTGTCCTGTGAGAAACGAGATGCTACGTTCTTCCTGATGGTCATGTGACCTTCACAAATTTTTAAGAGAAAATTATTTTAACATTACAGCATTCATACAATAAAGTATTGCTGTTCCAATTTTCAATGCAAATAACATGCACAAAAACTTTACAAATATACTAATATACTAATATACTATATAATTAAAAAAGATTTTAATTTGAATTTCATCAAATAAATACCCTTTTGTAATGTTAAGTGACGTTGACAGCGGATCCAAACGCAGGTTTATTAAACACAATGGTCAAGCAAGCAACAGTCAACACAGACGTATACAGGCAATTCCAGAGTTGTGGTCATATAACAGACAGGCAGGCAGCAGACAGGGTGAAACAAACAAAACAAAGCAAGGTTTAAAAAATACGGAAGGCAAGGCAAGGAAAATGTTTTAAAATGTTCACAAACAGTATAACAAGACTCAGCACTGAAGTGTGTGTGTGTGTGTGTGTGTGTGTGTGTGTGTGTGTGTGTGTGTGTGTGTGTGTGTGTGTGTGTGTGTGTGTGTGTGTGTGTGTGTGTGTGTGTGTGTGTGTGTGTGTGTGTGTGTGTGTGTGTGTGTGTGTGTGTGTGTGTGTGTGTGTGTGTGTGTGTACTGTATAAATAGTCCTAGTAATCAGTTCATGAGTAGCTTCAGCTGTGACTGTCTGCAATCATGAGAATCTAGGCCAGGTGTATGAGTGGTTCATGACATGTAGTTCGTTTGCTGTGTGCTTATCTGCACAGGCTGAATCGCTGGTGATCGTGACACCCTTAATTTATTTAGCAAAACTCCTGAGATAAATAAGTTATATCTCTGAACTTTAATAAAAACTCTATGTAAAACACTGCATTTCCCACCTTCTTTATTCAGCTGCAATAACTTCCGGGACCATCTTAGTTTTGTACTCAAGTCTGCATAGATGTGTCCTCGATATCAAGAACACATTCGGGAACTTTCACGCATTCTCCATTTATGCGGTCTTGAGTTTTGAAACTGAACTTTGATGGTAGATGATGACTTTACATGAGAACACGAGGACGCAAGAACACCAAAAAAAGTATATTGAGAAACAGCCTTAGCTTTTCATTTGATGCGCTTGAGCTCAACCACTGTCACTGGCAGAGCAAACCAATGCTATTGGCTGTTTTTTTTTAAGGAGAGAGGCAACATGTCCCACCCTCTCTTCGTGTATCAGTTGAGATTACGTCAAACATCGAACAAAAATGCATATTTCAAAGCACTTTACTGGAAGCACATAATGAAAGTCACTGTAAATGACGTTATATGTCAACAGTCTAGACAATTTTAAAACTCTTTAATATGTAATTTGCATGTTTGCATTATTGTATTGTTAAAAATGAGGCTGGGTCATTATATGAAAAAAATGAGTAGCAATTATATAGAATTCTTTGGACTATGTTGACAAATTGTAGCCTTTAATGGTTTAGTAGAAATACATTTGGTAACACTTTACAATAACGGTACATGAATAATAACGTATTAATATGTAATCTAAATATTACTTTATTATGAATTAATGATAAGATACTTGATACTACATGTTGTTAATTAATGTATTAATTAACATTCAAGATTAAGCTAAATGCAACCATCATGAACTCATGAGCTGTTAATGTATTTTATTATTTATATTAAACTCATGACAAATATGTCATGACTTTACTTGGACGGCCACATCATCATTAACTCATCCTTAACTACTTATGAACTCCGGTGTTTAAACTGTTCATGTTGATGTCCACAACCAGCCTTTCCAGTGAGTCCTACCCTGTCACAGTAAAATCAGCTCACAGCTAAACTTAAGTTACAGTATAACTCTGCAGTACCTTTGCACTTACTCTATTCTTTTTCCAGGGTTTCATTCCTCCCCAAGCAGGCTATGCGGTGAGATGGAAATATCTTTAGTTAATTAATAAGGACATTATTATCTTCATGTCAGCTGTCATAAACCTCTCCTGTTCCTCTTTTACAGCCTCAGTATGCTGTACCTCCAGGATGTGGGGTAAGTGGTCAATAAGTCATGAAATACATCATGTGACAACCTTATGAGATCAAAGGTCATATCTTTATGTATTTTATGATTCATTTAGCGCTCTACAAAAGCTGTGGGTGTTGAAAGTGCTAATGAAGAATATTTCTAGAAAACAGTAAATGACACTTTATCGAATTTTGTAGATTGTTGACAGTAGATTAATCTTAATGATGCATCATATTTCCAGCTTCACTTATCTTTCATCACTGTCATGTGATTTTGTGGCGTTTTCCCTTTGTAAGGAAGTGATAATTGTGCACAATTGTGTTTCCCTACAGTTTCCTGCCTTCCCGTCTGCACCAAACTATGTAAGAGCAGCTCTCACAACAGGAAATGATATCAAAATCACATGAATGTAAAACGCTTTGCACAAATAGAAAAAGAAAAATTGGCAAGAATATATATATATATGTAATCCCGAAATGCCGTATTTATCACAGAAATAAAAACACAGGCATGTAAGTGCCATTTGAATTTCAAAACAATCAATGCCAATAACAAACAAAAATGATTTCCATGTTGGATTCTGAGTGGACTACACCCACACAGACACACACGCACAGCAACGCGTGCTGTATAGCAGACAGTGAGTGAGGGATCACTACAGATTCATCAACATGCATGATCGCGTTCATCAAATTTTGACACAGCAGCGTAAAGCAGACACTTTACAAAAGTTGCATGTAGGGGGGAAACACGTCAAACTTATGAAATGTGAGGGCTCATGGAAGCAGCTTGAAGGCAGAGAATAGGGCTGTATTTGACAGCTTGCAACTTTATCTGACACTTTTGCTGACATTTTACATTTACATGGACACCAATACTCTACTTTTATGATTAAGATAATACTGATTAAGAGTCTACCATGTAAACAGCGATTTTTGATTACCTTAAAGGATCACACAAGTCCCAAAATGCGGAGGTTTTTCTTTCTGTTTTCCATGTGGTATCAAATTCCATTAAAACATCCTGAAGGAAAATATGCTGAATGAGAGTGAACTGCTGAGTTGCAGTTAAAGTCTAAAGATTAAAAATTAAACATCTGAAATTGCATGAAACTCTGAAGGCATCACAGGATAGCCTAGTGATGCGACATTGTTTTGTACTGAAACTGTCCTTCTAAAAGCACGTTCTTGGTCTTATACAAATTTCTTTGCACGTTAAACAAACACTGGAGCAAGTTGAATTGGCGCTCTAGGCAAACAGCAATCACACCGCCCTCAACCTGAATGTGATCAGTTTGCGAATGAAAGTAAGGCCTGGGGGTTTGCTCACAATTCTGCTGCCCAAGGCGGCCACCTATGTCGCCTCTATGCATGAGCCGTCCCTAAACACACGTCGGCCACAACAGGAAATACAAAAAAAAAAAACAGCAATTGTGTTATTTGCGTAATTTTTTTTACGTGTTAAATATTTCAAATTTATATATATGTGTGTGTGTGTGTGTGTATGTATGTATATATATGTATATATATATATATATATATATATATATATATATATATATATATATATATATATATATATATATATATATATAATGTATTAAATATATTATGTATTATATATATCAGTCAGTAGAAGTCAGTACAAATTGTACAATTGTGAAATGTTATTGCATTATAAAATAGATGTTTATAAGTAGTTTGTAATTTAATTTAATTATTCCTGTAAAATAATTAAATAATGATAAATTTTAAGCTTTTCAGCATTACTCCAGTCTTCAGAGTCACTTGATTCTTCAGAAATCAGTCTAATGTTAACTATTAATTAATATATTATAATTATTATTATTATTGTTGTTGTTAATAATAAAGACGATAACAGTAATAAAAGCAATAATGACTGGATTAATCATTTTATTTGAAACTACATGCAATAAGTAATAAATAAATATTTAATAAATAAATATTTTATAATTTAAAATTTTCTTACATTTAATAAATGTCGTTAGGATGAACAGAATATAAAAAAAAACATGAAAAAAAACCTGAGCCCAAACTTTTGACTGATAATTATAATTATTAATATGTTTATTCTTATATGCATTTTTTATTGTAATAAGTTTGTATAACTTACAGTATATAACTTAAATATACCATTTAAGTCAAAATTATTAGCCCTTTTCTGAAATGTAAATATTTGTAAAAATATTTATTGAGCATTATTTAACAAAAACATTTTTTTTTTCAATAAATTTTTAAACATGATAGTTTTAATAACTAATTTCTTATGTCTTTGATCTGGGGACAGTACATAATATTATTAGCTTATTTTGCATGATAGTAATAGGCTCAAAGGGCAATTTAAGTACTTAAGTAGGTTATTATGTTAACTAGGCAAGTTATTGGATAACAGTAGTTTTGTTCTGTAAAGGGCCTAATAATATTGCCCTTAAAATTATTTTGAAAAAAAAAAAAAAAAAAAAACCTGCTGTTATTTCAACTAAACAAAAAGAAAAAAACTTTCCACAGGAAAACTATTATGTTAAATTTGACTTCACTTGTACATTTTTACACTTCTTTTTAAATATATCTTTTTTGTCACCCACACTTAGACTATCCCACACAAAACGGTCATGAATGGGGGACTTCACCCAGGCAAAAACATTGTCATCAATGGAGTTGTCAACCCTAATGCTAAAAGGTTAGACATTTAATTGGAACAGTGTTGTTTGAATTTCAACTAACATTTCTTATTAAATCATTTTGTAAATCTGCTTTATTGAAATTAATTCCGCCATTTTGCTGCTTCCATCAGCATAATATTCAACCTGTGCTACAGAAGTGGGATTGCGTTTCACTACAATCCCCGTTTTGATGAGAATGTTGTTGTGAGAAACACCAATCAGATGGAGAAATGGGGTGCGGAGGAACGGTTTGGAGGGCTGCCATTTCACAAAGGACAACCTTTTCAGGTAGAACTTACCCTGAACATATGAAATTGTTGCTTTTAAAGAGATTGTTTACCTTTAAATGTTTATTAACCTTAAGTATACCCTCCAAACAGATTGAGAAAACACAAAACACTTTTTAAAGAATGTTGGAATCCCACAGCCATTGACTTTTATACAATTTTTGTTCAAATATTATGTATAGGAGAAAAAGGAAACTCATAAATGTTTGGAACAACTTGGGGCTAAATTCAGTGTCCTACCTAAAGTTCAGTTCCAGACCTGCTCAAACACATCTGTAGTTCATATTTAACTGGTTCAGTTGTACTTGATCAGGGTTGGAGCTAAAGTTTGCAGGAAAGTAGAAGAGGATTGGGTACCCTGTTTTAGCAAGTTTAACTTTAATTAGCATGTTGCTAACATGTTTTCAGTTTGTTTATATGCGTGCAGGACAGAATGTTGCTTGTATGTTGTAGCACTGTTAAATGTTTTGAAAGTACTTTAGCACACTTCTAGCATGAATGAGCATTTTAATAACAGCTAGCATAAGCATGAACTAGAACATTTATTAGTATTAATCAGCATGTTTATGGTATATACTAACATGTTTTAACATGTTGGTCATATCAATTAGCATGTTTATACTAAAATAACACACATTAGCATGTTTAACATGTTAAGCACGTTTTAGCTGTTTTTAAACATGCATTAGCACATCTCTATCATAAGCATTGCGGGCTACCGTGTTTAATTACTACCATGTTTAATGTTATAACATTAACATGTTTTTAAAACACTGCTATTTAACATTTAAAAGTTTTGACACCTTCATTGAAAGCAGTTATATTTTTTGTATAGGTATCATTGTGTGGTTTAAATTGTATAAATCTGAGTAGTTTAAAAAGATATATGAGCAGATAGCCAACATACAGTTGAAATCAAAATTATTAACCCCCTTTAAATTTTTTCACCTTCTTTTTAAAAAATTTCCCAAGTTATGTTTAACAGAGTAAGGACATTTTCACAGTATTTTTTCTTCTGGAGAAAGTCTTGTTTTATTTTAGCTAGAATAAAAGCAGTTTTTAATTTTTTAATAATTCTGACTTCGACTGAATATTATAATCATATTCCAGATCATAATTTACATATTTCTTCTAATTCATGTGCAATTTTTATACCCAAATATGTAAATCTGTCCACTATATTGAAACTTGCCACACAATTCTTAGGTTGCTGTCTGTCAGTTTTATTTAGATATAGAATAGAACTTTTGCCATTATTCATTTTTTCTGTTCTGACTTCAACTGTACATCTGGAAAACATATTTTGAAGACTGTCTTGTCTGAAAAATAAGACTAGAAAAATTAAAGATAGAAATTTTAAGCTTAAATAGTAGATGAATATGTACATTTTACTATGGATATGACTTATTGTTGCCATAAAACAATACAAACTGCATATACGCATGCGAAACAAACAAAAGCCATTCACATTACTCTAAAACAGGGGTTCTCAATCTCGGTCCAGGAGGTCCAGTGTCCTGCAGATTTTAGCTCCAACCCCAATCAGACACACCTGGGCTAGCTAATGAGCTTTTACTAAAGTAGGCTTTCTAGAAACATCCTTGCAGGTGTGTTCAGGCAAATTGGAGCTAAAATTTGCAGGACACCGGACCTCAAGGACTGAGTTTGAGAACTTTGTAGTTTTATTCATTTTGGCTTGAATGTTAACTATACTTGTTTGTTTTGTATTTGTGTTGCAGGTCACCATCTCCTGTAATCCCCAGCACTACAATATCTTTGTCAATGGCAAACAAGAACACACTTACAAACATCGCTACACAAAGCTGAACGACATCGACATTTTAGAGATTTGTGGAGATCTGCAGCTGACTTCAGTGCAGGCTTAGCAGAGACGTCTGTTTAAGATGGAAATCATGATTAAAAGAAAAACAAGAGAATGCATTACTAATTATTGTGCTCTGCAATGCAAAAGTATGACTGAATGTGAACATGAACAGTTTTTGCTATTTTGAATTAATATCAAATTATTTTAATGTGGTTTAGCTTTACATATAATATGTTCTGTAGTTGCTTGTTTTTATATAACTGTTGGTAGCTGAGAGAACTCAACGTAAGAAAACATCTTTGCCGGTTTGACAAAAAAAGGTATTTTCATCATGTTTTCTATTTGTGTTTGCATTGTGAGGATTTGCAACACGTGTGCCGATTAAGGTGTTTTCTTTATTTGCTGATGTTTTTTCTATTTGTGTATTTCTAAGTTGCAGCAGGTTGAGCTCTCCTGACCATTATATGCATGCTTAAAGCTATAAATCAGCAAATCATTTCATAATCATGGAAATGAATGTCCTATTGACCTTTTCTTTAATGCAGAAGTGCGCTCATTTTGTGATTGTTTTAGAACTTTTGTTTCTGGTGCCAATGAAATAGAATTGACTAATAAATGACAGAAAAATGTCTACTAGTTTTACAAACAAAAAATAGAAGAATGTAATAAGGAAATGCCAGTTTGCAACATCAAGCATCATCACAAGCTGTTTTTAATGTCTAAAAACCACTAAAAGTGAAGGAGACCGGAAGTCTTTAGGCAGATTCCAATGGCTGCGTCCACTCATATATGAAGAATAAGGTCAATATTGTTTGTCCAATCAAAATGTTTCCTAATCAGAATGGTTTAATGAACCAGGCTTTTCAAGAAGAGTATTGCTGCATTTTTGCTGTTTTTTAGTTCTAAAGCTTAATATTTCAACAGGGCTGAAATGTTTTTTTGTTATCTCTGATTTATTATATGAATAGTATTCCATGTGTCCAGGTATATTCACCAAGACTCTTTCTAAAGAAATATGCTACTTTCTTTTGGTTATAATAATGTGAAGGCAGTCAAATTGAAGGAACTCATTTTGTGTTGTCAAATGGCAGTCATAACAGTTATCTGTGAATCAAACTGACATAGTAACAGTTTTCTGTCTATTTAAGTTACATTACATTAAACATCAAAGTGGCAGTAGAGTCATATCACTTGCCATTTAATAGTGAACTTTAAACCGTCAACCTGGTTTTATGCTTAAAAACAATAAAGATTTTAGCATTAAAGTTTTGGTGTCACTAACATTGTTTGTATTTAAAATACACTACACTACCACAAAGAATAAAACTAACTTAAGGTTCAGTAAAATTGTACAATAAATTTTTTTACTAGCAGAGTACTACCATTCTAGGCAAGCATCAGAATAGATGTATTAACTGCATGCTTTTTATTATCATAATACTATGAAAGAAATTGAATGTTTAACTAAAATTAGGCAGACTGCTGTTGTCCTCACAGTGTTTGGGGGAAATCAACATAAAAAAATCTGAATAAATTTGAAAATGTTATTTATTCAGTTTCATACACTGAAAAAAACAGACTTTTGCTAAATTGTTGCAAACTATTTTTAAGGGCTAAATTTAAACAAACAAATAGTATTTATTAATGTTCAACTTACTTTGCTTAAATTCAGCCCTTATAAATTGTTTGTAACCATTTACCTTAAAAACAAATTGTAATTAAATTAAATTAAATCCAATAAATTATTTTTTTCTGTGTAAGGTGACTCTTTTTTTTTTTTTTTTGAGACTTTGCCATTTAATAAAATTTAGAAAAAAGGACACAGAGTAAAAGTATGATAGGAGAAGCATGACGGCCACCACAAAGAGAACACTGTTGCATTACAAAGGAATATTTGTATTAGTGGATAGATATTAATATCTGGAAATAACCTGATAATATAATGTGACAGCCTGCTAAAATGCAAACCAGGGCAAGAACATTAATCTAGCAACATTCTTATAGCCTACTTTGCTTAACGTAATCCTCTGTGCATTTACCCTGGTTTGCATTTTAGTCAGATAATATTTTCAGGTCATTTCCAGGTAGCATTCATAATGTTACAGAGAGATTTTTGGTGCATAATAAGTGTATGATATTACAAAAAAAAAAAAAAAAAAAGGAAAACTCTTTTGTGATCAGTTTTTAGTTTTGAGGTAAAAAGAAATTAATGTACCAAATGTCCTTATTACTGAAAGAATTAGGGGCTCTATTTTGACGGTCCATGCTCAAAGTGCAAAGCGCAGGGCGCAAAATAATTAAGGGCGTGCTGGAATCCGCTTTTGCTATTTTAAGGACGGAAAAATCGTCTTTGTGCCGTGGCGCATGGTCTAAAAGGGTTGAGCTTATTTTCTTGTTGAATTTTATACGTGTGTTTTGAGAATAAACCAATCAGAGTCCCATCTCCCATTCCCTTTAAGCGCAAATATTTGTTTCAAAACTATTTCTAAATTCAGTTTTAATTTCCAGCAAACGAATAAATGAACCATAATAACGTGTATGTCAAAAAAACATACAAAAAAACAAAGTTATATTCTAATACACATGCTGTGCCCCATATGGTCTAAAACCTGACAGGTGGACAAATCTAAGCCTGTTTTTAATAAAACAAACATAAATACGCATATAATAAATAATACTGCTAATAATAATGACATTATACAAAATCAAATTGTTATGAACAAACTGATAAAGCCCCCCGAGGTGAAGAAGGAATAAAACTATGGTATCTATATTTATGTAGGCTAGAAAATGACGTTTTGTAATATTTTAATCCTTTATATTTATATCCTTTATATATCCTTAATATATATATATATATATATATATATGTGTGTGTATTAAGCAATGTGTAAGCTAACGTGCTCTGCGCTATACTTAAGACCGTCTTTGTTCTGGTTTATTGAACAATCTATTATAGTTTCTATAAACTAACATGTGCCTATGGGCGCACATATGAGCGCAAATGCATTTGCTATTTAATTAGCGTGGTGCAAAACGTCAAAACGACTCTTGCGCCAAGCTGAAACGAGCAAACAACAATTGCGTCGCGCCTTGTGCCACATTGCGCCGGGTGTATGGTAGGGCCCCTAGATCTTATTAAGTTTGAATTAGTTGTGTTGTTGAAATGTATATGCCAAAAGAATGCTACATTAGTATTAATTAAACATACTGTACTCCTTTTCAACACTTAAAAAGAACAAAAACGAAAAGATTTTTGTTGATTGCTGAAAGTACTTGTTTAAAATAAGCTGAAACAATACAGGTCTTATTTGTTTTGTTCAATCCACTTAATCTTGATCCACCGCATGATCTGCAGATTAAGTGATTCAGTTTTGCTGAAAATCAGAAAAACAGCTCAGGACAAGTTTGTTCAGATAGGTTTTACGAAAAATCCGAAAAAGCAAAAAAAATTAATGACAGAAAATGACATCATAGAGTGCATTTGTACCGACTTGAGCCAAGAAAAATAAAGAACAAAGAATTTTGATTACAGCCCATTTGGTTCAAAGGTTATAAAGATAAACATAAGTGAAACTGGACAAGTGGTGGGACTAGAGAGTTTGAGTTAGAGAGTCCAAATTTGTTGTGGTTGAATTGAATTGAATTGAGTTTTATTTGACAGATTTTAGACAAACTGTACAAAAAGTATTCCATACACTTTGTTAAAAAAAACTGTCGAGGATGAAAACACAATAAAGCCCTGGGCTTATTTCCATAGTGGTCCTCTGTTAAATAAAAACAATGTATGGCTTCAAAAAGTGATGGATCAAATTATAATTGATCCATCACTTCTTCGTTGTTTTCTTTTACTTCCATTTTTCTTCGTACACGGAACTGCCCACGGATGAGATAGAAACGACTCGTAAACAATATTCGTTCCCATGCCGAAATGTCTCTCCGCCATATCTCTGTCCTGAATTAAAAAAGTAAAATGCCCCAAACTGGGCTTCTTAGCTGGATAAAGCAAACTGGGCTCCTTTGCTGAATAAAGCAAACTATAAAACGCGGTGAAAATTAGCACTGTTTAGAAGATCAGACTGTCCTCTATCAGTGTGCCAAAGTTTGCGCAAATGCCGCAAACAGTTCATAGGGATGCCATAGATTCCCAGTGCAGAAGAAGAAGAGGAAGCCAGAAGAACAATAATAAGAACTGGAATAAATACAATAGGCCCCTATAGGTAGAAGAAGAGTAAAGAAAAGAAATAGAAGAAAAGGAAGTAATAGAAAAAGGGAAGAAAAAGTTTTGGAAAAAAAATATTTGTAAAAAAAAAAAAATACTAGAACCTAAAGTTGTTGACACACTTTGATGTTGGCTTGAGAAAGCCAACCTGACTGCATGCGCTGGGATTCAAAGGCAGTTGGCAGGAAGCACAGAAGTTGATAGGTGGTTGCTAGGTGGATGCCTAGTTGATGGTTGTTGCAAAGGCTTTACTGGTGCGGTTGCTAGGGTGGTCTGAGCTTTTTGTCAAATTAAGTTAAAATAGCATGACAGTATGTTGGTTTTCTCATGCCAACATTATGATTATGTAGCAGTATTATAAGTAGCACTAATAACAAATCGAACAGCAAGTCACTATTGGGACATTAAACGCTTTAAATATATATATTTAGTAAAAGCATATGATATTTAGTAAATCCATTTGGGGTAAGCAGTTTAGTTTTTCATTCAGCCCACAGCCACATGTATTGTTTTTTTCTCTTTTATTGAGATCATGCAGTTCATTCAGACTTTTCCCATTACGGAGCGCAAATGCAGCGCTTGCATTTCTCACCCATTTAGCCTAGACCAAAATTCACCAGCTATTAGATGTATATATATATGTGGTCATTGAAAAGGCGTCTAAATCAGGTCTAGTCTAATCTTGGTCTACGGTTAGACGTCTATTAGATTTTCATTGACAGCCCAAATTAAGTCGTGATTTAACCTAGAACAAATTTCACCAGCTATCAGATGGATATACTGTATGTTGTCGTCTATTAGCCGTCTAAATGAAGATTAGTCTAAACTTGGGCTATGCTTAGACGTCTATATTTCCACTGACAGCCCAAATTTAGCCGTGATTTAGCCTAGACATCTAGGCTATATTTAGACGTCTAGTTAGACGTTTTTTAAACCAAAAAATGCTTGCTGGGTATGTCGTTCATAAAAATGAGTTTTCACATCTTACCATTAACTGGAATGTTTAAAATCGCTTGAATGTTTTTTAACCTAAAGTTCATTTGTTTTCATTTCAGCTTAGTCCCTTTATTAATCCGGGGTCACCACAGCAGAATGACTGCCAATTTATCCAGGATATGTTTTATGCAGCGCATGCCCTTGCAGCTGCAACCCATCTCTGGGAAACACAGGGATACACACTTATTCACACTCATACACTACAGACAATTTAGCTTACCTAATTCACCTGTACCACATTCACCAACCCACGCCAACACGGGGAGAACATGTAAACTCCACACAGAAACACCAACTGACCCAGCTGAAGCTTGAACCAGCGACCTTCTTGCTGTGAGGCAACAGCCCTACCTATGCGTCACCGCATCGCCCAAACATAAAACTAAATATTTAAAAAATTACATATTCCTTGAATGGTAGTAGAAAATTTTGTTGGTTTTAGAACCTTGACTTTTCCAAAACCGTGGTGTACCTTGAAAATGGTTATTGTCCCACGCCTAATGTGTACTATTACAGCACACTCTTTTACATGCATCCATCAAGGACCTGTACATTTCACAAACTTCCTTTTTAGTGAGTGGTTTCTTTAGATATCATAAAAAACAAAATAGCGCTAAAATAGTCTTTGGGGAAACCAAAAAAGGTTCTTCTATGGCATTACTGGAAATGAAAGAATGAATCAATGAAAAACAAATTAAATTAAATTAATGAAATAAATTCTCGCATTTGTCATTTGCAGCTTAAAACAAACATTTGAAATCTTCAAGCTATAAAAGGTTACCTTAATTACATTCCTAGTGTTTATTTTGATACTGTTCTATTTAATAAAATTAATTTGAGTGCAGTTGGTTGTTTAAATATGGTTATATATATCATTGGTTGGTTACATATATTAATATGTTGATATATATTAAAAAAAAATATTGACTGATAAACTGACCAAGGAGAAGCACAAGGACCACAAACAGAACATTGTTAAATAAGGGATACAGAGCAATATTTGTGTTACTGAATAGATAGTTCTCTTTGGACATATAATTATTGGCAGACAAAATTCATAGGTAATTTCCAGGTAGGTCTATCTATTTTGAAATGCATGAAGAGCTTACGTATAACTTCTGGGCAGGCTTTATATCACGCTATATTAAGCTCCTCAACATGATGCTTCAACAGCCGTAAGGTCTTGAACATCCAACTGAAGATTTGCTAAAGACTCTGAAAAGCAAGAGTTGTCAGAATGGCAGACTGTCAGCAACATCCTTTTCTCAGCCCAGTAAGTAAAGTTTTATATTAATATTTGGTGTTAAATGAGAATAATATTTTGGTGTAGATATTGATGATGACAATTGAAGAGTTCAATGCAAAAACCTCTAAATGACATCTGAAATTTTCTTCTAAAATGAGCATTTTTCTCAGCCTCCTGAACTTTTTGTTCAGTTATATCACTTTAAAGACAATCCAAAGAACCTATTCATTGCCATAAAAGTTGATTCACTGAACAAACACACAGGAGCTTGAAAAATGCTCATTTTAAAAAAGAATTTCAGATGGCATTTAAAAGTTTTTGCATCTAAATTCATTTGAATACAGAATTTAATATGAATACAGTATATTTCATAAGATCGAGTATAATTAAGATTATATATTGTAGGAATATATATTTTGTTTAAAGAATAAAATATATTTACCACCTAAAGTTGGTGCCAGCTACACTGTAAAACCCAAAGAGTAAAGGTAACTCAAACGATTTGAGGAAAACGATTGCAACAAACCATTTGTGTTAAAAAAAAAAAAAACTAATCTTAATGAGTACTGTGAACTTAATTCATTTGGGCAAATGAAGGAATTTGAGCACAAACCAAACCAACTGAGTACTATAAAACCTAATAATTTAAGGCAACTCAACCCGTTTGAGGAAACCGATTGCTACACTGTAAAAAATGCAGGGTTCCACACAATTCATTCATATTGTCCCAACACAAATCGATTAAGTTAACAACACTTTTTACTAATTTATGTGGATTGAACTTAAAAAAATAAGCTGTCGCAATGAAATCTTAAGAATTGTACTGTTTCACCTCATTTTATTAAAAGTTTAAAAAAAAGATTTTGAATGTACAAACCATTTGAGTAAAAAAACTAAGATATATGAATACTGTGAACTTCATTTAAGTTGAAGTAATGAGGTATTTAATTAACTCATTACCTTCAACAGAGTTCAAAACTCTTTTCAAATGAGTAGAATTAACTTTCATTCAATTTTGAGATAACCACAATCATTTCATTTGATAAAGTTGACTGTTGGGTTTTACAGTCTATGTACCGAAGCTAGATTAAGGGAAATTAGAGATCTTTTTTTTTTTTTTGTCCACCAAATATTAAAGTGAAGTTTGCCACATTTATTACTCTTTTAGAAATACATGTTTAAACTGTAAAAAAAAAAAGGAAAATTTAAAAAAAGGACTCAACCTTTAGTTTTAACCATCAGATACCCTGAAGTCTGTAGTTTTACCAACATAGAATAATCACCAGGTTAAAACCCATTATTAGTTTTAAAGATTTAGAAATGGTTGTACATCTTTATTACTCCATGACTGGATTACATCAATTATACATGTTTAGATCCGTCAGCAACAATCTTGCTTGCAGTTAGGTCAAAATATTGTATAGTCAATACAATCTCACAGCAATTCATAACTTTTGATTTAATGGCTAAATCGTATTCATTTATGTAATCTCTTTTTTACAGTTTAATATAATGTGCTCATCCCTCCAATGAGGGGTATGGTTAGGTGTGGCGTTTTTTAGCCATGCCTTCTTTAAAAAAAAGTGCTTAATGTGCTTGTGTTTATATGTACTGTACAAATAAGTAATTGTTTGAATTTGACAAGAAATGACTGTTTCATTTATGCAACTTCAAAAACGCTTTTTTTAAAATCTATACACACATACTGAACATACTATGCATGCATTTGTGTGTGTGCAGACATTTAGAGTTGTCCTATCTAATCAGAAATGAATTAATTTTCTTATTCTATGTTTATCTTCAACAAAGAGCATCCCATTCATTGGTCCACTACTAGGAGGCCTGCAGGAAGGGAAGACTCTTATCATAATTGGACGGGTTTTGCCTAATGCTGACATGTGAGAAACATTTCTCTTAAAAGACAACCTAATTTTATTTTAGTTGTTTGACTTATTGTCGAAGAAATATGACCCTGTTCTGTGTTCTGCAGATTTGGTGTGAATCTCCAGCATGCAGCTAAGTGCGGGACTGATATCGCTCTGCACTTTAAACCATGTTTTGATGTTGGACCTGCACATATTGTGTTCAACACCTTTGAGAAAGGTAACTGGGGGCCAGAAGAAAAGTCTACCTGTCCTTTTGTGAAAGGCCAACCGTTCACCCTTGAGATCCATGTTACCAAGGAGGCATACAAGGTATTCTGACTTTACAAGAAGTAGTTAGGAATAAGAGGAATCATTTCTGTGGTATTTTTCAAATTTAGCAATTTGTCTGACAGAGTTTGACTTCTGATTGAATAATTCTACATGTAATGTTCCACTCAGTGAAAGACTTAGAAAATTGTAAAGATTATGACAATTCACTCAGTATCAGCTGTCCATGTCAGTTATTGAGCAAACTTGGTGATATCATGCCAATCAGTAACTTTTTGATTTAGTGACTAATTCATTTGAATCTGTATGATCTCATTCATTCATTTTAAAACAATTTGCTCATCCCCCAATGATGCTTGAGTTTAGGGGTGTGGTTTGGTGCACGCCTCTTTTTTTAAATCATACATTTTCAGTTTGAATTTGTACGAATAAGCTAAACTGTCAAAATATAAAGTAGTTACATTTCCTAGTGAGATCAGGGTGGTAAGAACTTTAAATCTGCTGTGAACAGGAAATCAATTGTTAAAAGATCTGAGCTTATTTTTAAGGAAAAAGAATGAATAAAATAAAATAAGTTTACCAGCAAAACAGTTAACTTCATTATCATGACCAAAACAATTACAGTTGAAGTCAGAATTATTACTCCCCTTAGAATTTTTTCTTATTTTTTAAATATTTCCCAAATGACATTTAACAGAGCAAGGACATTTTTACAGTATGTTTGATAATATTTTTTCTTCTGGAGAAAGTCTTATTTGTTTTATTACAGCTAGAATTAAAGCAGTTTTAAATTTTTTTTTTATCATTTTAAGGTCAAAATTATTAGCCCCTTTAAGCTATATTTTTGTTAGATAGTCTACAAACCGGGCGAAGCAGTGGCGCAGTAGGTAGTGCTGTCGCCTCACAGCAAGAAGGTCGCTGGGTCAATGGTTCGAACCTCGCCTCGGTTGGCGTTTCTGTGTGGAGTTTGCATGTTCTCCCTGTGTTTGTGTGGGTTTCCTCCAGGTGCTCTGGTTTCCCCCACAGTACAGGTGAAATGGGTAGGCTAAAGTGTGTGTGTGTGTGTGTGTGTGTGTGTGTGTGTGTGTGTGTGTGTGTGTGTGTGTGTGTGTGTGTGTGTGTCCCAGAGATGAGTTGCGGCTGGAAGAGCATCCGCTGCGTAAAAAAAACAAAAAAAAAACGTGCTGGATAAGTTGACGGGTAATTTCGCTGAATGAATGAATGAGTCTACAAACCACTGTTATACAATAACTTGCCTAAATACCCTAACCTACCTAATTAACCTAATTAAGCCTTTAAATGTCACTTAAAGCTGTATAGAAGTGTCTTGAAAAATATCTAGTAAAATATTATTTACTGTCATCATGACAAAGATAAAATAAATCAATGATTAGAAATGAGTTATTAAAACTATTATGTTTAGAAATGTGTTGAAAAAATCTTCTCTCAAACAGAAATTAAAGGAAAAAATAAACAGGGGGTCTAATAATTCAGGGGGCTAATAATTCTAACTTCAACTGTATATCTTTGATCAAAGATCAATTAGATTAGCAAATTGGAAATCATACTAAATTGTACAAATGAGATCGTACGAATTCATACGAATTAGCCTCTAAATCAAAAAGTTATGAATTGCCGTGAAATAGTGTTGGATATCCATACAAATGATAAAGAACAATGATTGATATTTTTTGTTTTACTTATTACTGTATGTAATGTCTCTTTGTAGGTAAGTGTGAATGGGCAACACTTAGCGGACTATAAACACCGTATTCCATTCACTCTGGTGGACACCATCTTAGTGCCCCTAATGGTGGAGCTGGATTTCATTGCCTACCAGAAGCCTGTGGTAGGTACAGCATAGCATACCACAATTTAATGCAATTGACTGGCCATTCATATTTTGGAACTTCATATATTTCGTATTTGTGATTAATTTGCAAAAATCCTTTTACTGCATTCAGACCGTCCCATATAAAACCCTGATCAGTGATGGACTGCAGTCTGGCAAAGACATTGTTATTCATGGAGTTCCTAAAGCTGACTCAGACAGGTGAAATGAAATCTAGAATGTGGATGTGAAAAGTTATTTAAACATGCATAGTTCAAAAACATTTTTTTTTAAAAGTCATAATAACTTCTGACAAGATATCCACTTTAATGTTTGTATCTTCATTAGGATGACGTTTAATCTGCGCCACAGATATGGGATTGCATTTCACTACCAATGCCGTTTTGATCAGAATGCTGTTGTCCGCAACACCTGGGAGAATGGGAAATGGGGGGCAGAAGAAAAACATGGACCTGTGCCTTTTATCCGAGGCCAGTTTTTTCAGGTAGATCCCACATCCTTAGAGCACCTATAACTTTTCTATTCCAACAGAGTTCAAATTAAACAGATTTTTGGTACAAATCTTTGCCTGCCTGATACTATGAAAGGCTTAGTTAAAATTAACATTCATTTATTGAACACCATTTAGCATTTTGGGAGATGATTTTAAATGAAATTTTTGTGTGAAATGATTACAAACAGCACATCTTATTGTCATGTTTTTGTATGTGATTCAGGTCAAAATCTCCTGTCACAGTGATCATTATGATGTGTTTGTGAATGGCAAGCAAACACACATTTACAAGCACCGCTTCACTGAACTGGAGGACATCGACGTCTTTGAAATCCGTGGAAATGTGGAGGTGATTTTTGTGCATGTGAAATAAGGATCCAGGATTGCAGGAAGTGCATGTTTAAAACTTCCACTAAGAAGTTTATATCATATGATAATATTATATAGATTCTCCTTGTGGATCTAGAAAAATCAACATGTCAAACTGTTGATAATACAATATGTATTTGTATCTAATATAAACAATAAAAATGATTTCATTTGATGTGTCCTCTTTTACACTCCTCTGAATAAATCGTTCTACATTTAAATCAAGGTGGAAGCAGACAAAATTTTGTGTGGAATAATGTCATTTTTAATTTCCATGTTATCCTCAGGGTCTCATGTTTTGATTGAATTCAAACTGTTCTGAAGTGATAATATGTAGTAAATTATGTTGAGGCTGAACGTCATAGTGTAATGATTATATTCACTTCTATGCAATTTATACTGCAGAATACTGGTGTGAGTTTAAAATAAGTTTCTTCTTTTGGGAAGAAAAATACATTCTAGCAAGAATAAGGCAGTCACCAGGATGAGCTTGTTTTATCAGTTTGTATGTTGTTATTATGTTAGCACTGACCAATCAGAATCAAGTATGGAGTTCGGCACAATAAAAATAAATAAAACTTCAGCCCATTTAAAAATTCATTCATTTTATTTTTGGCTTAGTCCCTTTATTATTCAGGGGTTGCCACAGCGGAATGAACAGCCAACTTATCCAGCATATGTTTTACATAGTGGATGTCCTTCCAAACTGCAACCCAATACTGGGAAACACCTATACACACTTGCACACACTCACATACACTACTGCCAATTTAGCACATCCAATTAATCCGGGGTCCCCACAGTGGAATGAACCACCAACTTCTCCAGCACGTTTTTACACAGCAGATGCCCTTTCAGCCGCAACCCATCTCTAAGAAATATCCACACACACTCATTCACACCCATACACTACGGACAATTTTAGCCTATACTCAATTCACCTGTAACACACGTCTTTGGACTGTGAGGAAAACCGGAGCACCCGGAGGAAACCCACGTTAACGCAGGGAGAACATGCAAACTCCACACAGAAATGCCAACTGACCCTGCCGAGACTTAAACCAGCGACCTTCTTGCAATAAGGCGACAGCACTACCTACTGCTCCAGTGCGTCGCCCGCAGAAAATATATTTTAAACACAAAACATTGGGCCCATTTGTATGCGTCCAGCTTGCTAAATAAAGCAGAAGAAAATGTGGTTTAATTTGGAATTTTCTTGTCAAAATTGGACATCAAGAAAGGTTAAAAATCAATTACAGAAACTTTAGTAGGTCTATAAATATCATTTCCTCCAATATTGTTGAGTGGGAAGAGAAATGTTGCCTGGGATCAAGTCAGTCAAAAACACTAAAACGAGTTTGACTTTACACCGTGACACTCCACATCTTTCATGGGGTCTATAAACAACGATAAGCAAAGTTCCTATTAAAATGATCAGCTAATAATAAATTTGGATTGAGGAACATTTATGGTTGTTAAAACAATCGCAGAAAACCATGATGGATGAAAAAAATATTTTATGAATGAATCAGAGGGGCAGTAGGGTAACCTACTGTTAACATTTCATAAAACCATGATATTATAGGGTCATAACGCCCTCTGGTGATTATGAGTGGACTAACTCATAATATCTGTTGTAGTCTTTTTATTATGACGTTAGGGTGGCAGTAGAGCTCTACTTACAGTTTTTCTCAGTCACCTCGGTACATTTCTCATATCAAAATTGAAATTCTCAAAACTCCCAGTTTATATAATATACATTTATTCCTTTCAAAAAATATGGATGCCTCTAATGATCCTCTGACTCTATGAACACATCTGATGTATTTTCATAATATGTGTGACCTTAACCACGTCATAACTTTGTGTATTATGTTTTTTGTATTTTGTTTGTATGTTTATTTATTTCTTTATTATTATTTATTTTTATTTAATTATTGATTTTTTTTCTCTTTGCCTTTTGCTGCTATACTTGTCTACTGATACATTTGTCTTTGCCCTTTTTTGTTGACGTTTGTATGTTCATTAAAACCAATAAAAAAAAAAATATATATATATATATATATATATATATATATATATATATGTGTGTGTGTGTGTGTGTGTGTGTGTGTGTGTGTATATATATATATATATATATATATATATATATATATATATATATATATATATATATATATATATATATATATATATATATATATATAAATATATATATATATACAGTGCATTTGTTGACAAATGCTAAAAAATTCCATCACATGATTGCTTGTACATCAAACACATTCAGCTCAGTAGCGTTAAATCCAGCTACTCTTTGTTAAATCTACAAACGTTGTCATTTTTGTTCCTGAATGATCTCATTTGAAACACAGTAATCGTCAGTAAAATAGAAGAAATACTTATTTTTAACAAATGTGATTTTATTTAAAACTTTAGTAGAAAATTCAGAATTGTCATCAGTTTTGAGGCTTGTCGCCCCAGACTAATGTCAGTTTTTGTCCGTGTTCAGCTCAGCACCACCTTCAAGATGGGCAGTTTCCAGTGGCACCACGTGGAGGAACGGACATCGCCACCTATATATACAGGGTTTGGATTATCACTCACCATGAACTACAACTACAAACAAAATCACTAGTCAATAAATGATGTCCTCCAACTATAAATCATATACCACATTAGCAAAGCATTAGACTAAAAAAGGTTGTATATGAGGACAATATTAAAGCAAATACTAAAGGTAGTAACTTTATAGGTCTTCAGAACACAAATGAAGATATCTGAATGAAAATAATGAGGATATTTTAGTTAAATCTGAGAGCTCCTTAGTCCTTCATAGACAGTAAGATTCCTGACTATGAGAATACTTATGTGCACATAAAACAAAAATAACTTTATTCAACAGTTTCTTCCCTCAGTGTCAGTATAGGGCACGCGTTCACGTGTTGCGCCTCTGACATATAACCTTGGATGTGCCTGTTAAGTTTTTAAGAGAGGAAGTCAGAGAGGAAGTCGCGCAGGCATCCAGTGGGGTATATGTCACTGCACAGTGCTTGTGAACGCATGCCCTTTAATCACACTGAGGAGAAGAAACGGTGAATAAAAATGTTTGTTTTATGTGAAGACATTTGATCTGTTTTGAGGATGTTTTTTTTTTTTGCAATTTTTGTGGATTTGAGTCTGGATGAGGGAGCTCTAACATAAAATTAAAAATTGTAAAAATAGTTCTGAAGATGAACATGAGGATGAGTAATGAATACCATAACTTTTTAAAATGTCTTATTTAATAATTTTTTTGTTTCTAGAAGTATTTCCTTTTGGTCAATAACATGGCCCGTTATAGATTTATATTTCAATATAGGCAGTTTTTTTATTGTTTTATTTATTAATGATGTTTTTTATTTTATTATTTTTTACTTTTTTATTATTGAATTTTTTTTTCCAGTTTGTTGCCAAATTGTCTGGTGAGTGATAATGTTCATTGGAAACCCTGTATATATATCAGTTGATCCCAGTAGTCTTTGGTCAGGAGTCTCTCTCCTCTGGCTCAAATTACATTTTTTAGGGAGAGACACCCAAAAAATATGGACCTGGACTGGGAACGACTGAGATATTTATTTTTATATATTATTTTATTATACATTTTATTTTACCATGTGGAAGTGCAAGAGTTAATGCAAAAGCTGATATAAAAGTGTGGGAAGAGTATGTACACTATATGAAGGCTTAAACTTTGTTGTTTTTTTGTTTTGTTTTTTGCTTTATCTTTTTTTTTTTTTTTTTTTTACATGGAATTTAATTAGGGCCAGTGTAAATGTTACAATAAGAGCTATGACACTGCAGAACCAAATTATGTTCAGCTTTCTCTGGATCAAGTTATGTTTAGCTAAAGGACTATGGTGGTGTGGTTGGCTCACAATCCTCTGCTTCTTCTATTATGGTTGGAGCCGCTGGAGTTTTTAGCCAAATCCAGCACTGAACTGGGAGAGATTCTGGAAGTTGTCCTTTGTCAAATGTTAGATCTTTCTTATAATTTTCTGGAACATAATTAAAATTAAATTGTTAAAAAGAAAAAGAAAATTTAAGAACACAAGATTGTCGTCTGACACTAGCAGGGTTTCCATCAGCCTGTGTTGATGCACCTTTTTAAGTATCACATGAGAAAGTTTAAATAAGAATCCTTTAATTCACAAAATGTTTTATGCACACTTGAGGTCATTTTGGATTCGTCAGAAAAAGGGTTCATGATGGAAATGCATTTGTCAAATGAACTTTGATGTAGCGAACATTTCTCAATGATACCTCCCTTGTTTACAGTTGGTTACGAGGTTACCAATAATACAGTTCAGCTGCTCGACCAACTTGATGGAAATGATTTGCTCATAATTCACAATTATAATTACAAAATATATATTTAGTGAACTTTAAAAAGATGTGCTTCACATTAGCATGGAAACTCAGCTCATGACAGATTCATTTGACTGATAAAAATCCTCAAAGTCTATTCATTACCTTAAACCAGGCATGGACACGGAGTGCATGCAGCTTACTCCGAGACCAGGGGTTAGTTTGCAGACAACCGCTGATGAAATCACAGCATTCTGTGTAGAAAAAAAAGGAAGATGTACATTTAATTATTACCTTAAAGTTATACATGCTTTTTTCACTGACATTCAAATTGTCCTACACAACCATCTTTAGCTGAAGTGGAGATCTCACCTTCTGACCTTCCAAACTGGTAAAAAGTTTTGTTTTTTATCCTGCGGAGGTCAGGGTTTTCTGGAAATTTTTTATACATTAGCAAAAACTGAAGAATCCCAAGTGACCACACTGTCGCTGAATCACCGAAGTAATAGCCACCCCTTTTAAACTCAGGAGGGATAAACTGCTCTGTGCCTGAAAGAAAGAGATGTTGTTTCCATTAGCACAAAATCTAAATTTCCTTTCGAAAATGTAAATAATTTTATAGATCAGGGGTGCTCAAACCCAGTCCTGGAGGATCTGTGTCCTGCAGAGTTTAGCTCCAACCCCACTAAGACAAAACTGAACAAGCTAATCAAGTTCTTACTAAGTCAGGTGTGTTGAAGCAAGTTGGAGCTAAACTCTGTAGGCCACCGGCCCTCTAGGACTGAGCTTTGGCACTCCTGGTATAGATTAACAACATCAGATGTTCCAAGAGCCTCATCACAAGAGCTCCTTAGAGCTTTGAGGGATTTACATACCCAAATAGGTTGTGTAATAGTCCTTAGTAAGGTGAACACTACAACCAAAGTCAGTCAGTTTAACTTCAAAGGTTTGCGGGTTCATCAGCAAGTTGTCAGGCTTGATGTCACGGTGAAGCACTCCGCGTGAGTGGCATGTTTCAGCTGCAATTGTTGTGTGGAACATGATTTTCCTTAACACGTCCTCTGGGATCCTGCCTCGGTGGTCTCTTAAAAAATCACCTACACTCACACAGGGTATGGGCCGCTCTAGGACCATAAAGTAGCGCCCAGCCTCCACCTTCCAATCCAGAAGCTGAACGAGTTCTTTAACCTCGGGGCCTTTAGTGGCAAGAAAGTGCAGAGCGATCTCCGCTGGAAGTAGCTGGTTCAAATCATCCTAAAAGAAAGACAGTCGTTAAGATCATTTGATAGAAAAGTTATTTCCTGTTAAAACTGCTAGCACCTTTAATATGACATGTTTAAAATAGAAACAGTTAATCAGAGCAAAGAGCACAGACTACTTACTACATGGAAGAGTCGCTTAGGCCTGAAAACTGCAATTTTTACTGCCACCTGAAGGCCATCTTTTAAACGGGTTCCTGCGAAAACGCTTCCATAGCCTCCTTTGCCCAGCTCAGCACCGATTTCATAGTGCTCTGAGTTGATCTCTGTGAAAAGAGAAAGAAGAGAAGTTTATCAAATGTGTGAATTAGTGACAGTGCTACCTTCAACTAAAACTACCATCAACTAAAACTACCCCTGCTCCATCAGGGGTCACAACAACAGAATTAACCCCATCATATAAAACCTTTTTTTAATTTTGTCTTCCCTATATATATGATTATGGTTTTTATGATTTAGATATATATTTCCATCTCAGTTATCAGCTATCCCTGAACAAAATGTGTATTAAAGCCAGGTTAAAGCATAAAAGTCATTAAAACACTATTAAAATATGCATGTGTGTTGGATGACTGGGGTGTCATGATAGTAAACTTACCAATGATGTTTGTGTCTTTATCCTTCTTTTTTGGCTGAGGTGGAACAGCGCCCTTTGTCTGACAGGTTGCATCTTTACCAACATCTTTACAGCCGAGCTTAGCAGAGACCACTTCTGGAGGGTCATCATGACTACAGCCAAGCTTAGCAGAGACCACAATTTGAGGGTCATCATGACTACAGCCAGGCTTAGCAGAGACCACATTTAAAGGTTCATTAGGACTACAGCCGGGCTTAGCAGATACCACATTTGGAGGGTCATCATGACTACAGCCGGGCTTAGCAGAGACCACTTTTGAAGGGTCATCATGACTACAGCCAGGCTTAGCAGAGACCACAATTTGAGGGTCATCATGACTACAGCCAGGCTTAGCAGAGACCACATTTAAAGGGTCATTAGGACTACAGCCGGGCTTAGCAGAGACCACATTTGGAGGGTCATCATGATTATAACCGGGCTTAGCAGACTTGCAGGCGTGTTCTTCACTGTGAACACTGTCAGGCTCTACCAGTGATTGTTCTTCACCGGGAACAGTGACAGGCTCTACCAGTGATGGTTCTTCGCTCTGACCATCAACAGGTTCCTCCAGTGACGGTTGGTCAGTCGGAACCTTGATCTGTTCTTCCAGGTGCAAAGATGATTCTTCACACGAGTCACCGATTTCTCGACCTAAAGGAAGAAACAATATGAAACAAAAGATTTTAGTTTTGCTTGAATAATATTTATTCAGTGTTTATTATTGACATGATCAAATGCTTTCAATTATTAAGTGACTTTTAAGGTCATTTCTTTCTACTTTTAGTTGTTGATAACCCTAGGCTTGGCAAAACAACTAAAAACTATGTGAAAAGGTTTCATGTTTTCCACTACAAAAACCCTTAAAACAATAAATATCACCATTTGTTATCCATTAAAACCACTGCATTGTGTTTTAGGACATATTCCTGAAGGATTTAGTGGTTTAGGACTAAAAACTACAAGTAGAGACAAGGGATCTCACAGGGGTGTCAAACTCAAATCACATTGAGGGTTTTAATATTTTATTTGTTAATTTTATATGGCAGTAAACAATATTTCTGTTCAATTTCTCAACCCCCTATTAAGATGTATTGGGTGAAATCTTTGAGCTCCTTCATCCTCCATAGAGAGCAAGGGTCCAGACTCATTCAAAGGCCAGAAAGGTACCAAAAAACATCCAATTTATACTATAATATACCAGCACTGAAGAGAATAAAGTGTTGGATAAACTTGTTTACACAAAAGTATTCTTGTAGCTTGGTAATTTACCGACTGAACAACTGTAGGCATTTGGTCTGTTTGAGGATGTTTTTTTGCTATTTTTGTTTACTTTAAGCAAGTCAGGAACCTTGCTGTATATGCAGGATGAGAGAGCTCTCAGAAACGTCTTCATTTGTGTTCAAAAGATGAAAGAAGGTCTCAGGGGTTTGGAGTGACGTGAGGGTGAGTAATTAATAACAGAATTTACATTTTTGGGTGAACAAACCCTTCCATCTTGAAGCAGAGAAAATGATTTTGTCTTTATGGATTACGAATGCATATTGGAAAAACTTTATACAAATCAAAAATAATTTACTCAGTTTTGTCTTGTTTCTAGTCTAAATATCAAAACAGGAAATCAAGAAGTATTTTCCTGACAAGTAAAAATATTGTTTTGTTTTCAGAAATATGTCAAAATTAACTGAGTTTTCCTTAAAACAAGCTAAATAATCTGCCAGAGGGGAAGTCAAATGTATTTCAAAGCATTATTTTGCTTTCTCCATTGGCAGATAATTTAGCTTTTTAAGGGAAAAAACAACTTAAATTTTGACGTATTATATATTTCTGAAAACCAGACAATATTCTTGCTTGTCTAGAAAAAAAGACTCTTGATTTAAGAATTTTGAGATATCTGGACTAGAAACAAGACAAGAGCCATTATTTTATATTATTATGCACCATAATAGACACATTTGTGTGACATATGTTTGACACCACATGTGATTAAAGCAGAGCAGTTTTCATTAGGCCTGTATTATTATTCACTTAATAAATATTTTTACATTAAGGTAAAATAAATGAAGAGTCCTACACAGACTCCAGTATCCAAAATGAGCTACATGTTCTTAAAACACACAACATTATTTACCATCACGTTTGGCCACAGGGTGTACTGTGACCAATCCTTTTTGACGGTCGAAGCTTTCATCTTGACCTGAGACGGTGGAATAGGTGTTTCTTTCTCTCAGGAAGAGAGCAATTACTCCGAGTACGGTAAATAACATTATGGATTAATTTCCGTATACTTAAATATGAGAAATGTTAAATAAACCTACAATAAATACTTAAATTTACTGTAAGTAAACTTTGTACAACTCACTAGTTGCCTATCAAGTGAGAGCAATGGCGAATTGTGGATTGTAAGGGTGTGTCTCGCAAGAATTGGAATGCGTTCCAACGTTCTACTGATACGTGATTGGTCAGTTTTGCGCTGTGTATTTTTAATCTTCTCCGAGTTGAAAAATACACTAGTTAGCGGTTGTTTATTTCCTTCACGGGTGTTTTTGGAGCAAAATAAACGGATTTTTCAGGAAATCTTTGTTTGACTCGTAAATATTCTCTGTTTGATTAATCATGACTGGTCGTTTGGTGAACTCGAGATTCGTTTTGTAATCAGGGTCGATTTAAATACATTTTACAATCTTAAAGGTAAGATCTGGCTTGGCATTTATTTTGTAACGTTACTTCAAATGTAAGTTATTGGCGATAAGCGCTTGTATACACAACACGAGATATTATAGTGTATATCTTTTAAAATCAGCAGTTCTGCCTTATCAAACTCCATCTAGACTGCAAATACAGAAGTAATGTGATGCTGAGATTAATAAAATGGCGGCGTGTCTTACTGATTCCTGTTTGGCTTTATAAATTTCTGGTTTAGTAGAATTTGTTCTGTTATTTGACAACAAAGAGAAGAAATATACGTTTAATGTTCAAAATTAAATATAGACACTCTTATGTTTCACATTAATTTGTTAAAGAATGACAAATATTTTATTTATTAACAGTATTATGAAAATAACTATTAATGAAAAGTCTGAATTATGTAAACATTATATCTGTGTGGTTTCGGTCAGTGTCCTGGATTCAGTCTGTGTCCTAGACTATCAGTTTCTCATGTTGGATTTTGAGAAATCTAGTGTCTATCTCTGCACATATCTGAGTGTCTGTAAATCATTATAATAATATTAAACATGGTTGTTCTTGGTTTAATAGGATGCAGAGGAAATATACACAGTGAATGTGATGCGACTGAGAGCAGAACACACCTCCAAGCACCACAAGTATGTAGAGAGCAGATAATTGCATGTTTGTTGAGAATTGTTTCTGAATATTCATTACAGGAATCATGATGTGAATTAAAGACATGGATTTATTTTAATATGATCTCAGATGTTCACATTAAAAAAAAGAGGTTTACAAACAGTATCCAGCATAAATGAGTATAGTGTGTCCCCTTCTGCACTGCAAAAAATTACTAACACTTTAATTAAAAGGTTAACATTTAAAGTAGTTAAAGAGTATGCTCATAACATTTTTAGGATGATAAAATCATATATTTAATTTCAGTGAGATATTTACATACAGTTAGTTCTTTCATCCGTCCTACCTTTAGTTTCTAAACCATATTTTGGCGTATTTCTGTCTTTAATCCACTGCAAAGTGTGAATGCGAGAGAATACATATATTCAAATGCACATGCATGGCTGAGATCGCATCATGTCTGCATTCAGACTCTGTTGGGCCTGAGTTAAAGAGAAGCTAACAGTAAGACAGAAAACACTCAAAGACTGGAATAATTATGCAAAAAAACAAATTCACTTTAAAGATTAATTTAGACAGAAAACAGTCATTGTAAATTGAAAAATAAATTGGCAATTCACCTGTTTTTATTGTATTTTTGACCTAATAAACGCAGCCTTACGGTGAGCAAAAAATTGTTTATTGTTTTCCCTCAGAAACATTAAACAAAATATGAATGTTTCCAAACTTTTGACCAGCAGTGTAACATGTAAACCATTATCTTATTTATATCATTCATTCATATATGCAAGGAAAGGAATGCATGGAGTTACTCTCTCCGGGCTTTATAGCAACAGGTGACACATTAAAAATGTACCTAAAAAAATGAATGGTTCAATCTCTGACTTCTGGAGTTTAAAACACAGACAGAGAATATACACTCACCGGCCACTTTATTAGGTACACCTTACCAGTACCGGTTTAAACCTTCTTTTGCCTTCAGAACTGTTGTAATTATTTATGGCATACATTCAACAAGGTACTGAAAATATTCCTCAGAGATTTTAATCCATAACGACATGATAGCATCACGCAGTTGCTGCAGAATTGTCGTCTACACATCCATGATGATAATCGCCTATTCCACCACTTCCCAAAAATGCTTTATTGGATTGAGATCTGGTGACTGTGGAGGCCCTTTGAGTACAGTGAAGTTGTTGTCATGTTCAAGAAACCAATCTGAGATGATTCATGCTTTATGACATGCTGCATTATTCTGCTGGAAGTGGCCATCAGAAGATTCATCACACTGTGGTCTTAAATGCATGGACATTGTCAGCAATAATTCTCAGTGAGGCTGTGGCGTTGACACATGCTCAGTTAGTACTAATGGGCCCAAAGTGTGCCAAGAAAAATATTCCCCAATCCAAAACACCACCAGTAGCCTGAACCGTTGATACAGGGCTGGATGGATCCATGCTTTCATTTTGTTGACCTCAACCATCCGAATGTCGCTGCAGAAATCAAGACTCAGAGCAGTCAACATTTTTCCAATCTTCTATTGACCAATTTTGGTGAGCCTGTGCAAATTGTATCCTCAGTTTCTTGTTCTTAGCTGACAGGAGTGACACCTTGTGTGGTCTTCTGCTGCTGTAGCCCATCTGCCACAAGCTTGGATGTGTTGTGTATTCAGAGATGCTCTTGTGCAGACCTTGGTTGTAACGAGTGGTTATTTGAGTTACTGTTGCCTTTCTATCAGCTCTAATCAGTCTGGCCATTCCCCTCTGACCTCTGGCGTCAAGGCATTTGTGCCAACAGAACTTACTTCAGAACTTACTTACAGTCACTTAAATCACCTTTGTTCCCCATTTTGATGCCCGGTTTGAACTGCAGCAGATCGTCTTGACCATGTCTACATGCCTAAATGTATTAAGTTGCTGCCATGTGATTGGCTGATTAGAAATGTGCGTTAATGAGCAGTTGGACAGGTGTACCTAATAAAGTGGCCGGTCCCTGCATATCATCTAATAAGAATTCAAGCATGTTTTATAAATGTTACACAATTCCTCATAAATCTTTATTGTACATGCTTCATTTTTATCTTTATCATTCAGAAGTTTAACAACCTAATTATTGTGTAATTCAGTTAGGATGCACTGGAGTATTTTTATGCACAATCTTTGAAAGTTATAAATGTTTCTAATTAAATAATGAGCATGTGTATTGCAGAGATTTTATTAACACTTTTATTAACCCGTTTACATAAGAGTATGCTCACAATATATACAGGATATTAAAACACTACACTCAAATTCAACTAGGTATTGCAAATACAATTACACCCCCTACTAATCTAATCTAAATTTCTTATTTTGGATGCATGGACTCCATGAATTTCCCTGTTAATTAAAATTTTATTAGATTTTTTCTCTTCACACATTCAGTGGGGTGCACTCATTCATTATATTATTTTATTAAAATAGTTCTAGTTTTGCTAATAAAACAGATTTGCAGAAGGATCTATATTTATATAATCAATATAAAACAGTCATTCATTGTTAATCAGCAGTCTGAGATGTTTTAACCGTTTGTTTATTTCTGATGCTGGGATTCTTATGATGTTTGACTCAAATGAGCTGTTTAAAGTTTCTCTCTTTGTTGTGTTTTTTAGCAGACTCGAGCGTATGGAGAACATTAGAAACTGGACACATACGCCACATCCACAGTGGACATCTTCAGTGATTTTCATCGCTTGTGTTTATTTTCAGAGGAAATTCAGGTATCTTAGAGTGTATTCTTGATAAACAATAAGGCATTTCACTTTATTAACACTCCTGATAACACTGACTGTGGCTAATAAAATGAGTTCACACATCATATCAAAAATCAGATTTCTTTGTATTTCCATTGCTATGAATGAACTTTAAGTAGATTTACATTTAGCAGACGCTTTTATCCAAAGCATGAAGATAACAAAAGCACTTTAGATCACCAGAAAACAGCAAGATGTAGAAGCAGAGACAAGTCTTAGTTATTTTAGCTGTGTGTGTATTTTTATTATCTTGAAATAAACAAAGAAGCAGGACAAACAGATAGTAAAAGAATACATTAGGGAGTGCTTTTGTTGGAGTGTCAAAGTTATTTGATGTGTTTTCAAGGCTTGTGACTAAGGGTGCTTTCACACCTACACTTTTGTTTCAGAACGTGTCTCGTTTGCCCAGTTAGCGCGGTTCGTTTGGCATATGTGAACAGGGCAATCGCGCTCTGTTCCGCGCCAAAGTAATCACTCCGAGATCGCTTGAATGAGGTGGTCTCGGCTCGATTGTAACGAACCCTGGAGCGGTTCAATTGCAATGAGAAAGCGATCCGATCCGAGCGCGGTTATATCACAGTGTTTTATGGATATGTAATAGGCATAGGGCTATATGAAGAGATAATGAGTATGGCGGGAAGTTTCGCGAGTCTCCGGATGCCCGCAAACGAGTGATGATCTCCTGGTAATCTCGCGTCTCCCTCCCGGTCCTCAAATAGGCATCGTCGCGCACCCTTCTCACCCCTCCCCACCGCATCTCTCCTCAAACACATCGCGCACCCTGTCAATCACCACCAAACCACCACCTCTCCTGACAGCTGAGCGGGACGCTGCAAAATAAACCCCGACACTCTGACCAATGTAAGGAGAGTTTACTCGCACGTGACTTGTTTTAGCTCTTTTGGTGCGATTAGAAACTTTGCAATGTGAAAGCGAACCGCACCAAGAGCAAAGAGCAACAATGTAACATTTGTAATCTCTGTTTTGGAACAATTGAATCGATTCACAGGTGTGAAAGCACCCTAAGATTTCAAGTGAAGTTAGCCACTTTAACAAAGAATGTTATTCTACAGTTGATTATTTAATTCCTGAACTTCAATACTTCACAGAACACAATAAAGTGCTGTTTATTTCAGTTTTATCATTGTTTTCATCCGTGCTTTAATATATTTAATAATTAATAATTTTAATATAA